AACTCTTCCAGATGACCTATTTGTGTCTTCTGCAGCCGAAGAAAAAGAGCATAAAAGTGATAAGGTGACGGCTGACATTGTACATGTCCGGCAGGGGCAGAAGTCATCCATTTCCAAAGATGATAGTGAAACTCTTGATGAAAATGTTGAACTAGGACAGGCTGGGTCTATCTCACAGTTCAATAACACACAGCTACAAGCTGGACAACGAGCTTGGAAGCCTGCTCCTGGTTTCAAGCCAAAGTCATTGCTGGAAATCCAACAGGAAGAAGAGAGGAGAGCACGCACAGAAATTGCAGTTTCTGAGACAGCCACGGCTTTCAGCTCCTCGAGTGTTTCTACCCCTTGGGTGGGGGTGGTTGCAAGTTCAGATTCCAAGTCAATCAAAGAATCTAAGCTAGACCCAGTAAGTGCCACCTTAAATATTGGCAAGTCGGACAGCTCCCGTAATCAGAAAAATAGGAAGAGCCAATTGCATGATTTGTTTGAGGATACCATTGTGGCTAAGTCAAGTGAAAGAGATCCAGAGATTTCTGACAATTTGTCTAGTTTGCCTTCTGCATCTGCTATCAGCTCACACAGTGATCCTGTTGATGATAGCAACTTCATTGAGGCTAAAGATACTAAGAAGAGCCGTAAAAAATCTGCTAAATCTAAGGGTGCTGGATCAAAGGTTTCAATTCCTACTGCTGTGTCAGATGTGTCAGTGGGGTCAAGTCCCATTGAGAAAAGTAAAAATTCTCGTCACCAAGAGAAGGAACTATTACCAGCAATTCCTTTGGGCCCTTCCTTGGGAGATTTTGTTGTCTGGAAGGGGGAGTCTACAAGTTCTTCCGCGGGTCCTGCATGGTCTACTGACTCTGGAAAGCTCCCAAAACCTGCATCATTGAGGGACATTCAAAAGGAACAGGGAAAAAAGGTCCCCTCACCACAGATCCCAGTGCCTACATCACAGAAGTCTGCACCAAGTCAGCTTGCACGGGGAGGTGGTTCTTCACGGTCAGCTTCTGCATCTTCTCCAGCCAAGGCTGCATCTCCTGTTCAAATCAATGCTCAAGGTCCTCTTTCAAAGCATAAAGCTGAGGATGATTTGTTCTGGGGGCCCGTGGAGCAACCCAAGCAAGAGTCAAAGCTGTATGATCCTTTAACTTGCTTTTTCTTTCTAAATTCTAGTGTATTCATGAGTGTTTACTTTCATTCATCATTCGTGGTTACCAATTTTTTAGATACTATGCAAATGTCATATCGAGTATTTAGTGATCAGCCTAATTTAATATTGTATTGGACATAGTTTTTAACTGCATGATTTCTAGATCTTTTTATTATTTTAAAATTCTTATTCTTCCCCTGCATCTGGATGATGTTATGATGTATAATGGTCCTCTCAGGTATATTAGTTGTTTCAACATATAAATTTTAAGTTTGTAATCTGATAGACGGTTCTTAACAGCTAAATTGCTAATTTTTACTTATTCAAAAGTTCTTTCCCTGCCTCTGCTTCTTATAGCATGGTGTATAATGGTCCCCCTGGGCATTTAATTGTTTAACGAAACAACATTGCATAATTGTTGCCATCTCAACATGTTATTTCAAATTTCTTGTGTTACTCAAATGTTTGTTCAACTTTTAAACAAGAAAGACACAGCAAGTTTATAGGATTTTGGTTCAGTTCATGTATTGCAGAGTCCTTTGTGAGAAGCTGCAGTTGCGAATGCACTGTGCTAAGAGTTTTACCTTACAGTTAAGTAGCAAGCTTGGTAATAACAGTGTCAGTTGTTTGCCAGATGTTTGTGTCATCTATGTTAGAAAAATTTCTCTAGCAGTAGGTGGTTGCTTTCCATTCGGGATAGTATTCCTTCGCTCTTTGGGATAATGCTTGTGTACTGCATTGGTGAATTTGTTTTGGGAGTGGGGGGCAGTTAAAAATCATGGAAGATTGCTGAAACAATGTGATACCCGTCATCTGTAGCTCTTTCTTCTCAAATTCACATTTAACTTGATGTGCTTGTGACAGCATGCCTTTCGGTTTCTGTGATGTACTGAGATTTCTGCTCTTTTGGGCTGGGAGTTGAGAAGAAACAGACATGAAGATGTGATTCATTGACTTAACTTATCAGCATTTTTCTCCCAAGCAGTGGGAATAGTGTTTACTCATGGAGATATGGACTGTGGGAGACTTATAGAATCTTGAAGCTGTTATATTTAGGATTCCTAGATGAAATTTGTTTGACAGTGTATTTGTGGCCATTGCAGGTCCGATTTTCCTCAACTCGGAAGCAGCTGGGGAAGCAAAAACACCCCTGTTAAAGCATCTTCTGGGGTGGCATTAAACCGTCAGAAGTCTGCAAGTGGAAGGCTGGTGGAGCATCCATCTATTTCTAATGCTTCTGCTAACTCATCTCTGAAGGGAAAGAAGGATTCCTCAACAAAATATTCAGGTATGTAATCTACATGTGGGTTGATTTGCTCAAGGCTAATCACTTTAATATTGAAGAACTTCGTTGATCATGTTATTGCAGAAGCTATGGATTTCAGAGAATGGTGTGAAAGTGAGTGTGCCAGGCTTATTGGAACAAGAGGTACTTGCATGAGTCTAGCTGCTTGTTTCGTTTGATTTGGTTGTATGTTAATCTTGGATAATTGGTGCTTGTTCTAAATCTGGGGTATAATCAATACTTAACACACATGAAAACGGCTACAAACCATATAGCAGTTTTCCCACGCCTAGAGTCTTTTTTGGAAACTTGGATCTAATCTGTTCATTTCTCTCTCTTAACAGAGGTACATATGGTCAAGGAAACCTATAGTTTAATCTTTTCTGCCTGCTGTTGTGTCAAAATACAGTACCCCATCCAGTGGACGTAGAATTTTTATAAGGCAGCACAATATCCCCTGAATCATCTGAGTCTTGATGTGTTATATGGGTTGGGAGACAATTGTAGCATTAGAAACTTGTGGGAATTTTCCTTAAAAGTAGATGCCAATGATAATTACTGTAACTTTGGTTGCTGTGGTATCTATTATATTTAGAGGATCCTGGAGTGCTTATTGCATATCAAATTAATGCAGCCGTGCCAGTATATGTCATTCAGAAAATGCTCTAATTTCTTCTATATATATATAAATGGATATTACTTTGACACCTTTTCCCTTTCTTCTAGATACAAATTTTCTAGAATATTGTGTGAAGCAATCTAGATCGGAAGCTGAAATACTTCTGATAGAGAACCTTGGTTCCTTCGATCCTGCCCATGAATTCATTGACAAATTCCTCAACTACAAAGATCTTTTATCTGGTGAAGTCCTTGAAATTGCTTTCCAAAGTCAGAATGATCGAAGGGTCACTGGCTCAGGTTCTGGACAGATGATTTCTGATGATGGTGGTTTTAGGGGAATGGACCAGAGCAATGCAACTGCTTCCGATGCTTCCACAAAAGGGGGAGGAAAGAAGAAGGCTAAAAAAGGAAAGAAGGTAAGCCCTTCGGTGTTGGGATTTAATGTGGTTAGCAACAGGATCATGATGGGAGAGATTCAGAGCGTTGAAGATTGAGTAAAAACTTTGGGCCTTTTGTACATACATTACCTTGAGGTCTTTTGTAAATGTTTTTCTTTTAGGTTTTTTGTTCACTATAGAGCTGCAGCAGTGCTAGGTATCTGCTCGAGCAATTTTGTGAGGGATTGTTAACAGGAGTACTAGTTACTCAGCTATAGATTTAGCGTGGCTTACCCGTCAAAAGAGGTGGCCTTCTTTGTATCACTTCTGAAGGGCCTTTTAGCTGCTATTTATTTTCACGTGTTTTGTACAACCGTCCTTTCTAATCAACCTTCCATTATTTTTAAGAAACAAGTGCAATTACGTCCCCCATCTTTCTATACTATCAAGTGTTTCTTTCCCCGTAGGGTGAGGCTCCACGGCCCCAAGAATGGCAACAAGGAGATTGGATGTAGGCGCAGGGCGTGTGCTTGTGCGTGTTCAAAATTTTTTTTTTTGGTGGTGTTGGGACTTGGGGGTGGGGTTGGTGAAGACAGCTAAAAAACTTTTTGAGTTTATGGATCCTCTGTGCTATAATTTTTAACGAATTGAACTTTTTGCAGATGCGTATTGGATTCGTTCAAGTTTAAAAAAATATTCGAAATTGTTTGTAAACTATTAGAATAGCTCATGTACACATATATAATTATATGAATAAAAATAAAAATAAAAATAAATACATTTAATATTATTAAATATATAATATATTATATTAAAAAAATTAAATTACACATAAATTAGCATTATTTTTTTAAAAAAATCAATAAATACAGTTAAGTTTATTCTAAAGAATATATTGTTTATTAAAAAAATAATTAAATCATTTTCAAAATCAAATTCAAGGTTGAATTCAAATATTTTTACAAATAAATGAATTGAATTCGAACAATATTTGTAATTCGTTAATATTCGAGTGGAACTTGAATCACGTTCATATAATACATTAATAGAGTCTAAACACCAAGTATTTGGCTCGATTTGACTCGATAAAAGCTATACTCTATTTTCTCTCTCTCTCTCTCTTCCCTTTTTTCACCTGGGGTTGGTCAAGACACCTAAACTACTAAGTTCGTTGATCCTCTGTTGAGTATGACCTAATTCTGTAAAACTTGCTAGTTTGCAGAAATATGTTTTGATTCTATCTGATAATCTTCATTGATTTGTCAAACATTTGGTTTCCCTAAACTGATGCTGCCTTTTCTGGTTTCAGTCATTCCTTTCAGCGGTCGTTTACCACATCATAACACCTGCTGTAATAACCTTCATCTATCCAATGAAACTACACTAACGTCCATCAAGATAATAACTGCAGATTACTGAATCTTTGTCCTAGCTATCTTCTAAAAGAACCAGAGAAAATTGGGCCTGGTTGAAGAAAATGCGAAGTACAGCAAAAGAGGACGCAGCACCAAGTTACCATATACAGAAGAAAGGTACGAGTCGCGGTCAAAAGCTAGCCTTACTCACATTCAATGAAGAATCATTGCAAGTTGCTGCAGTCATTGCAGCTATTTCTTGAATCTTTTGGCATCGAAGAGCAAATTGTCTAAAAAATGTCAAGTTTTCACAGAGAGATGATACCAGATGCAATGAAAGTAGCTGGGAAGATCCAAGCTCATGCTTGCTTGAGTTGGAGTCTGCAGTTGTTCAAGTACAAATACCGCTCCCAAAAAAAAAGGCACAAATCCCAGGCATAGAGGCAGCATCATGAACAATTGATATTTAAACTTGCTATCAAATTGAGTAAAGTTAAAATGTCATCAATAAATTTGCAGATGACTACTACTACTACTACAAAATCTTTTACACTTCAACGTATAAATAATCTTAAATGTTGGCCGGTACAAGCAATTAAGCGACCAGATGATCATGCAGTGCACTGTTAATAATCCTCATGCTCTGTCGGTGCTGACTTTTTCTCCTCCCGGTTGGGTTGCTAGCTTACTCTCTGTGGATGCCCTAAAGGAGAAATGAGTTAAAACACGTTAATGGAAAAAATAATTTTTTTACCTATTTTAGCTTAAGTAGTTCTATACAAGTAATTGTGCAAGCTAGGTGTCACAAACTTACAATGATACTTTCCTACTACTCCCTTGAATTGCTAAATTATGAGCTGAAATCTTCTGTGAACTACTTACCATGTGTTTTTTTTATGAAGACACCAACGAGTGTGTATCATTTAGCTAGGTTTTTTGCACTTTAGTCCCAGTCCTACTACTTAGATTGGATTCATATTCGATCTTCAAATTGCTATGGTTGCACTCATTAATCACACTTGATCTTTTTAAGAAATCAGTTTTAGTACCTCAGTTTTACTCATAACTCCAAATTATAAAACATACACATATTAGTCAGATACAACCGAGTCTAACTGAAGTCCTTAGTTTGATATCAGAAACAGAGAAGATTCAATAATTAGAAACCAAAACGCGCAGACAAAGATGCCAAAAAAGAAATAAAACAAGATCCAAGGATTGTAGAATGAGAATACGAGAATGACCCTTTTTATTTAGGTTTGAGAGGGTAAGGCGACAACCACTGAGTAAAACTTTGGCCAAAAACTATCATTTAGCTATCGTCATAGAAAACAATTAAAGAATTCATCTCGCCTGCAGTCAGAAGCCAGAAAATATGGGAATTCACCTACGGATTAAGATTTTCGTGTAAAGAAACAAATGAACGTGTCAAGTGTCAACGTTGACAACCATATAACTCAGAGATCAAGCAAATCCAGTATCCAAATTCTATAGCATAATGGCCATCTATGAGATATTCTGCCCTTAGCTTATCTAACAGAGGCCAATTTCCATATTCTAGCAGAAGAATTAACTTTCTGACTCTAAATCTTGCAAGTTGCAACGTCAACACAAGGAAGTTCTATACAACGCACAGAAAGCATGAACACAGGTCTGGAAGACATCGAAGGATGAAAATAGCTTAGACTTTCCACAGAAATTAGTTTGGCCCAGAATGTTGAACCAGCCACTCCTTGTCTTCTTTGCATTAAACTAATAATGGTATATCCAGCAATACCAGAGCAAATCAAAACTCTCAAAAAGATTTTCTTTTTCTTGTACTTGTAGCACAGACCTGAGAAAAGGGTTGTCGCTAATCAAAAGAAAGAAAGGAATGTAAAATGTGCATCTACCTCTCTATAGAGTTGTGAGAAGACGGTTCAAGTTGATGTATAAGCGTGGAGCGCACCAAGGACATCTTGGCAATCTCGGAAATGGCAGCGTGTCGGACCCTGGGGACTTCACTAATCAGATCCTCGTATGCTGCCTCAAAAGCCTCTCGCCAGAAAATAGGCAACTTCACAGTCTTGCTCTGAGTATACACATCCCACAAACGCCTCACCATCTTCTCCCTCTCCTCCACTTCCTGGAATAGAAGCCCCGTTGTCAGGCATTAATAGGAACCCAAACATCCCTAACAGTTTTACTAAAAGAGCATGTATGCATTATGATAGTATTGGTAACATATTTATAAGTTGCTTGATCTTTAAACATAAACTGCCTCTAACAGTTTCAATCAAAAGCAAGGCAGCCTAAGTTAAGCTGTTTGATTGAGTATTACAAATCAATTTTCAAGGAAGTAGCAGTAGCAAAGATAATTTTGCTAGTAAGTTGGTTAAAGGCTGACCGCAAGATTGCATCAACAACAGGACTAAATTGTCATACACCAACCCACAAACACCCAAACATTGCAAAAAAAAAGAAAAAAAAGAAAAAAAATGAAACAATTATAAACAGAAGAAAAATGTAGTAGTACCAGAATATCGAGGTCGTGGTGAAGTGGGGAGCCAAAAAGGTCATCGGAGACATGGTTGAGGTGAACCGAAGACCATTTGAGAGTGACAGAGCCAGTGAACATGGACCAGAATGCTAGCAGAAGAATTGCAGCCAAGGCCCAGAACTTGTATCTGCTTCTACCCAAAAAGCCAACCTCAGAGGACCCCTCTTTCTTGTTCACAGCAGCATTTGTTGTTGTACTTGCTGCTGCTGATGTTGTCGTTGTCTGTGCTTCTTCGTCTTTCATATTTGACTACTATATTTTGCCCCACCCAAAAAAAAAAAAAAAAAAAAAAAAAAACACTAACCCTCCTAAAAAGTTTAAATTCAGTCAAAATTTTATTGATTCTAGTACAGGGGTGAATTGATTGTGTCGTCTGGGGTTGCTTCAGTTTCGTTTAGTTAAGAATGCAGAGGCTTACAATGTCAGACACCGACAGTCTGAGCTGAGGATTGTGGGGGAGAGAGAGAGAAATGGAATGAGTGGAGTGATCAAGTGCACTGCGAAGCATCGGATAACATGTGGGTCTTAAAAACTCCACCGACGGGGGTGGGCTCGACCAGATGAGATGGCAGTATTAAATTGGAGCAAGTGAAATGAGTCTAATACCTCATCATACGACACCAGCGATGGCGATGGAGTGGCTTGGGAGTCACAAAGGCCGCCAGGAACCCCAACCCCCGCGCCACCCCTCGCTATCATTTTTATTTTTTTATTTAATTTAATTATATATATATATAACATTAATAATTGCTCTGCTAATTATTTTTTAAAATTTTTTGCAAAACATTGAACGTGAAATAAAGTCATTTTGATCTTTTGAATTTATTTCTTCATGTTTGATGCCATATAAAATCTAAATTAATTGCTATTGTTTCTTTATACACAACATGCAACATGTATCAAGAAAAAAGTGAACTAATTTTACAACAATAAATTGATAAAAGAAATTATATCAGTTTAGCACAATAAAATATCATACTATTATTTATATCTTATTATATATTTATACATAATAATATCATAGTAATATCTATTTCATGTTATATATATATATATATTAAATTATAGGTGGGGAGCGTGGCGGGGTCCTTGTTCCCACCCAATTTAAAGTAACCGGAGAAAAATATCCCCATCTATTAATGGCGGGGAGCATTTCTATTAACGAACATGTAGTGGCTTTGGACTTACATTAATAGCGCTTGAATTCAAGTCTCGCTGTCAATTAAAACACGCTTTTGATAAGCGATTTTTAAACGCCGGTGTAAGCGTGGACTGCTGGTATCCTGACCTTGAATAAGGCAGGCCTTCTCTCCGTTTAAACCTTTTCTAACCAAAAAAAAAAAAACTAGAAAACACCAAAGAAGCAGATTGTACCGAGGACAAGACAAAAATTTTCATTTTTTTCCCTTAAAATAATTTTCTAGTACAACGTATAGCAATATATAGTTGAGATCGATAGGTAAGTAGTGTAATACCAGTTATATATATATTATGCTTTTCTTTTTTCTTCTTTTTTTTTTCACAACTTTAAAATAGGCTTGCTTGAATCTCATATTACATACAATTATACTACACAGTGCCAACCATCAATTGCTGAGCAAACAGATCTGTGTATATTTTCAACGAATCAGACCTCACTCAGAACATTTGATTCATTTTTTTGGGTAAGCCCCAACAAAGATACTATGACGGTAGAGTTACATATTTGATGGTCTGCATCTCATGGGACGCCAGCCCATGAAGCGCCCCAGCAGAGCTTGACTATTCGCTAATTCATATGCTAAGCATATACTCTTATCAACTAAGACAGTAGACTGGTTGTTTCTTGCTCCTGAATTTCACCTCACCTTGATAGTCAAAATTTTTTTAGTTTTTTTCCCCCTTGAATACCACACTTCATACAAGTGAAAACTGTCCGATTAAAATGATAGTAAAAGAGTGATTAATAAAAATGAGAGTACAAATAATAATATTTCCCTCTTCTTTTGCAATTAAATAGATACTAGTTTACAAAGATGCATGGATGGCAACGGCAATAAAACATTGTAATAGAGCACCATTTTTATTTTAGAAAAGGAAAAAACAAATGAAACCTTCCACTCGTCCAATATGCTATGATTATATATCTTGGAAGTGATTAATACCCTATAACATTTGAAGACCACATTGAACACTAGTAGTAGAAGCAAATTCATACACGTCCTGCGAGTGGAAGTGATCTATTACTCTATGGTTGTTAAGGTCGTTTAAAATTGAAAACTAACTACATCTCAGCCTCCCATGTCCGAAAACTAACTAATAACCCTTAGGTCCCATAGTCAAATACTTTCAGGAAGATATCTCGTTGTAACTCCTACAGCTAAGTCAACCGAAACAAAAACATGCGGTGAAACTAGCAAGCTCACATAACGTTGACCAAAATCCATCAACGAGCATATTCAATAAGGGCTGTCGACAGAACAGCCGTCGTGGTGAACCATAACACTAGCTTCATACTCCACATTTACAGACATTATTATCTGTAACTGGAGGAAATCAATTGAGCGGCGGCATATTTATGCTATTAAGATGATACCTAGTATAACCTGTGCAAAGTGCAGGCTCAAGATCAGAACAGGTAAACAAGCACCTGGTAATATTCGACGAAAACTCGCCATAAAGCAATCACATTAAACTATGCTACACGGAAACACAATTTCTCAAGCATCAAGTTTCAAAAATCATTTTGGCTAAATTTTGAAGCAGGCCAGAAAGCCTATTCCCAAAGCCATTTACACATGCAACCGTTCTTCCTCGCTGATAATTCCCCGAATTCAAGCACACTTAGAGATCACAGGCTAATGTAGACCTTAGACAGTTTCTCTTTCGACTGAGCAGAAGGCAGGAAACAAAAGAAAGATTTTTGTATCAAGTACATGGTCGTGAAATTTATGCACTAAAAGCCCGTGCAAAAAAAGAAACTGGCTCAGATTTTCTGCATATTTTTAATCAGAGACAAATTTCATATGTCCAGACATATTTAAGCAGTTCATCACGGCCAGTAGGCAAGGAGAAAGAAAAAAACTTTAAAATCACATAAAAAACAGAATAAAAAACAAAATAAAATTCTAAAAGCTAAGGATGAGAAACAATTTAAACTGTACTAGAAAACTTGATAAAAACACTGAAGCAGGTAGATACACGTCTCAGAGATGTTCCAAAAGAGGAACTATGCAGACATTCAACATGGCATCAGATTCAGACCGCCCGTCTGCCTTTTTCTCATCACTGAACCAAAAAATGCTAGGACTTTATCAATCACATAAAAGGATTCACTTGACTCGCAACTTACGTAACTAATAGGGCTCAGAGCAAAATCAACAAACCAGATTAAGTGTTCTATTACTCAGAGTTCAGGTGACTAAAAAGGGGGCCACAATAAAATTTAATATAATCAAAATAACACTTTCTACCGCTAAGCTGAGAAAAGTACAGTTAAGTGCAAAATCACTACAAAAAGGTTATCTAAATCAGCGAACGAAGGGAGCATCAGATAATAAGCGGAGTTGTTTAGTCTACATCAAAATTCAGTGTGTAGGATAAGATTATTTTCATCATTTGCTCTCCCACTGGATAGGTAATATTAACCAATAAATAAAAAAAAATAAAGAAAAAACTTCCATCATAAATTACCCTGATGCATGCCTAAACTCTTTCAACGAAACAGTAAGTCACAGAACATAGAAAAGTTTCTTAAAATGCTCGTAAAATACAGCTTAATTCCCAACAAAAATGGCATCAGATAATAAGCGGAGTTGGGTAGTCAACACATAAAAATATTCAGTGTGTAGGATAAGAATTTAGCAATCGTCATTTGCCATTAACTAACAAATTTGCTGATTTTTTATACCAAAAAAAAGGCAAACAAGAGAAATAAAATTCGTTAAGCCTAAGAAATACAATATCGGAAGGTCCATTTGACGCCAAGGCAAATTAATGCTACTTATAAAATAGCAGCAATGCAATGGGCTGGTAAGCCATCCTAATTCCACTTTCTGCACCAGCTATATCTCCTCGTACACCTTTTAATTACTCATTAAATTTCACGAGGAGAGGGTAAACCAGATGCAATTGTAGACATACAACAACAACAACCCCCCCCCCCCCCCAAAAAAAACAACCCAAAAAAATTGAAATGAAAAGAATATACAAATTGAGGGTGATACGATGATATTAGGTTCTGAAGAGGATTTATTTCCTAGTACCGAATCAAAGACGAGGTGGACGGATCAAGGATTAAATAGAGCTCCTGAAGATCGATCCTAAACATTACCCGGAGGCGCTGAACAGATGATGCTTAAATAGGACTTTGGCGCAGGCAGCGGCTAGGGTTTTTCTTCCTTCGGCAATGGTTGGTAACATGTTAGCCGCAGTAAGAGTTTTGTTTAGTATTAGCGGTAAAGGGCATCCATACGTGTGCAATTTAGAAATAAATTTTTTTTTATGAATTTATTTTACATAGAATTTTTTTTTTTGGTTAGTGAACATGACTTTGCTCTTTTAAGATTTTTTATTTAAGACTATAATTATATTGTGTGTTTATGAGTAATTATATTAGAAAGATATTCTTTGGTAGTTACAATGAAAATAAGTTATGGTTAGGGTAAAATTTAGATCCTGTGAAGGTAAAAATAAAAGTTTAAAGAGTGACAAAAAAACATTTGCACCAAAACTCAAGGCTCCCATAGATAATTTTTTTGTGTAAATTACTTATAACCCTCTTGTAATTTACATAATGCCAGACGATTCCCTTAAATTTTCAAACTAAGCCACATAATTCTTATGATTTTATGTAAAGTAAAAAATGGATAGAATACACAATTAGTTACGATATTTATATCAAATACACTCTAAAAACATGTAAGATAAAATCTCAATCGCCATATAATCCTCTTATGGTTAGTACAAATATCCATTTTACCTCTTCTAATTTTTGCATTTTTCCACGTGATTCTTCTATACTTTTATACAAGGTGGTTAAGCTATCGATTGATTTAGCATTTAAATAAATACGCTATTAGTATTTTAATTAATGACGTTACATAGGTTATTTTTGTCAAATTTTCACTTTACATAAAATTATGAATGAAAAATTATAGGAGTATCATATGAAATTATAGGAGTATCATATGTAATCTACCCTAATTTTTTCGGGTTTCTTCCACTTTACCCGTTAAATCTTCATTACTACCACAAACTACTCTCGTGAATGCTAACGGTGTGAAGCTTATGAGTAAAAAGCCAAATTTGCCCTTCTACTATATTAAGATTTTTCAAGAATTTACCTTAAGCATATTTATCACTTTTGCTCCTAAAGTGATATTTTAGTCAATTAAAATTAAGAAAATTGAAAACACATAGGAGGAAAATAGAATATCTTGTTGAAACCACTTACAACCAAAAGCAGTA